CTCTCTCTCTCTCTCTCTCTCTCTCTCTCTCTCTCTCTCTCTCTCTCTCTCTCTCTCTCTCTCTCTCTCTCATAGTCTGCTGATGCAGTGAAGTCGGATTACGAGAGGGTGAGAGGGAGATGGTGGACTGAGAAGAGGAAGAAGAAGAACTCTCTCTCTCTCGTATGCCAGGTAATGACCTGTGAAGGTGGCGTTGTGCTGCAGGTACCTCAAAGACGAATGTGGAGCGATGGCGCTGCAGGTAAGTCCCTCTGGCCTCCGCCCAATCTCTCTCTCTATAGTACTACTCTAGCTGCTATGGCGCCCAGGGCTGAAGACTACAGCTAACGCTACTAGCGCCCAGCGCTGGAGACTACTGCTAACGCTACTACTACTCCTGCAGTGCTCCTCCAGACTGCTGCTGCCGAATCCTGAAGACTACGTCCTGCCTCCTGAACTGCACATGAAGTGCCTGGGAAGTACCTAGGAACTACCTGCCGGCCTGCAGGGCGGGCCAGTCCTATGTAGTGCTGGCCCGTCTAGGAGGCTGCTCTTGCCAATGCCGAAACGTGCCAGACCCTGGCGTTGAAGCTCAACTAGGGATTGTCTTGAAAACAGGCCCGAAATGGCCTGTGTTAAAACCCAGATTTGTTGCCTTAGCTTCAGGGCGGGTTGGACTGATGAGGGCCTGAAAATGACCCTCAGTTTCAGGCTGAAAATGCTCAGGGCCGGAAAGGCCCTGATTTAGCCTGAAACGACACAAGGCCTGTAGGACCTTGTTTTCAGGCTTTCAGGCTGAAACGACACAAGGCTTGTAGGCCCTTGTTTTCAGGCTTTTGGCCTGAAAACGGGCCTGAAAAGGGCCCCGTGCAGCCTGTTGCAGGTGCAGCATGTGACACCCCCCCCTCCTTATGAAGTCAAGCCGGGGCGAGGCTGAAGCCGACAATCCGAAGGTGGAATGTGGATGCGGGTGCGACGTGGAGCCGAAGATACCGGCTTGCCTTGCATCTTGCGTTCGTAGCGTGCGAGAACATCCAGAGTTGTTGCTTGGAGTTCCGCACGGGTCAACCAACAATGAGCGTTGTGACTGCAGTACTCGGTTGGCCTGCTGCCGTAGCGCCGCAGGGAGATGATGTCGCCGACCTCTTGAAAACCGTCCATAGAGGGTGGGTCTTGTGATCGTCGCCCGGGAAAATCGTCATGTTCCGCTGGTGTGTAAAGAGCCAGCTTCGAGCAATGAAAGACCGGGTAGACGGGCAAGTGGGCGGGCACCTGAATAGTGAAGGAAGGTCCCTCGGGTGCATCCCCAGCGGGTGCCACGATCGGCCAAGGACCCATCCATTTCGGGAGGAGTTTGAGAGAGATATGTTGTTCGAGGCTGAATTCCGCGGCGGAAACCCAAACGAGATCGCCGACGTGGAAGGGGCAGGCAAGACGCTGGCGATTGACCTGTTGGCTCATGCGTTGCTGCGTCTTGGCCATCTGGTCGCGTGTCGTGACAAGTAGCTCTTACATCCGAAGCAAGAAAAGAAGATGGTCGTCGCTCTCGGCCGTTCGTGGAATGATTGTGTCCAACAGCGAAGTGACCGGCGAGCCGTGCTCGAACTCGAAGGGCGGCATGTCGATAGCCGGGTGGATGGATGAGTTGTATGCCAACTCAACATCCAACAGCCGCTCTACCCAATCCTTTTGGTCGGGACATATGAGAGTGCGAAGGAGAACCTGTGCGGTCTGATGCGCCCTCTCCGTTTGGCCATCGGTTTGGGGGTGGCAGGCCGAACTTGGCTTGAGAGAAGAGCCCCATCGTTTGATGAGTGCCAGCCAAAAATTGGACATGAAACGAGTGTCGAGGTCGCAAACGATTTCCTTGGGGTAACCCTTGGTTCGAATCCAACCGATGTAACGAACCTCGGCCAACTCCGGTGCCTTGGCATGATAGCGGCAAGGCAAAAACATGACAAACTTGATGAGTCGGTCGACCACCGTGAAAATCCCATCCACACCGGTCTTGTGCTTGGGGAACGGCCCGGTAATGTCCATGGCAATCGCTTCCCTTCGGCGCAAGGGGACCGGTAGCGGTCGCAACTCGCCGTATAGACGATGGTTGCGGGATTTGCAGCGTCGGCAAACCTCGCATGACTCACAATAGCGTGTGACATTGTCGAGAAGGCCGGGCCACCAAAATCTCTCTCGAAGCCGGCCAATCGTGCGATTGACTCCAAAGTGTCCGGTGGCGGGAGCATCGTGGAACTCGCCAAGAAGCCGTGTACACAACTTAACACAAGTGAGAGTCACTCAGCATGCAAAGAAGGTCCTTCCCCCGCGTGTGGACAAGCAACTACCCCTCTTGGATTCGGTAGTGAGAAGGCGCCGGATTAGGAGAGGAGCAATTCGCGTACTTGTCGCGAAACTCGAGGTCGGTTTGGTAGCCGCGGATGAAACTGTCCCGCAGGTCGTCGCCGGTCTCGAAGGTCGAGTACACTGCGGTACAATGATCCGGACGCCGTGAAAGAGCATCCGCAAAACGGTTTGACTTGCCTGAAATATGATCGGGAAAGAAGTCAAATTGGTCGATGAAAGCCATCCACCGGGCGATGGTGCCATTGACGGTGTCTTGGGTCTTGTGGAAGACCAACGGATTGTTGTCCGTTATCCATCGGAATTGGCTTCGACCAAGGACGAAGTGCCACCACCGCTTGAGTGGGTGGACGAAGGCGAGGAGCTCCTTCTTGCGTGCATCATCAATGGGGTGCACAACGGGCACTTTCTTGCTGAAGTACTCAACCGGGTGCCAGTCTACTCCATCGTGTTGTTCGAGGACGACAAAAATGCCATAGCCGGCCGCATCCGTAGTGACGCGCGTAGGCGATAGCGGGTCGTAAATGCGCAAAACCTCCGCAGATAATAGCGCGGCTTTGAGAGCCAAAAATGATTCCCGCGCATCCTCTCCGAAGTCAAACGATCGATCCCCGCATTGAAGCTTGGACAAGTGGGCCACAATCTTTGAGTGTCCCTTGATAAAATGTTGGTAGTAGCCGGCAAGGCCAAGGAACGAACGGACATCCGTGACGTTCCTCGGCTCCGACCACTCTTGGATGGCTTGAATCTTGTCCGATAACGGACTGATGCCCTCCGGTGTGACAAAATGGCTCAAGTATTCCAGCTCTTGCTGGACAAATTCGCACTTGTTGCGGTTGGCCTTGTACTTGGCGCAGCGGAGCGTCTCCAACACTCATCGAAGGTGCTCAAGATGATCCTCCAATGAGCGGCTATAGACGAGAATGTCGTCTAAGTAGACCAGCACGAACCGGTCCAACATCGCACGAAACTCATTGGTCATTGCCGCCTGAAAGGTCGTCGCGGCGTTGGTGAGGCCAAAAGGCATGACCACTCACTCAAAATGTTCGTACCGCGTCTTGAACGCAGATTTGTAGCGATCTTTCGGTCGGATCAAGATCCGATTGTATCCCGACTTCAAATCCAACTTAGATAAGTACTTCGCGCCGCCCGATCGCTCAAGAAGATTGTCGATAAGAGGAAGAGGCCCCGCATTCTTGACGGTTTGCGCGTTGAGTTTGCGGTAGTCGATGCACAAACGTAGATATTTGTTCTTCTTCCGTACGAAGAGAACTGGCGCTCTGTATGGAGAGCTACTAGGGCGGATTCAACCCTTGTCCAAGAAATCATCGAGTTGCAAACGAAGGACCGTAAGCTCCTCGCTCATGCAATAAATGCAACCTTTCAGCGGCACAGCACCGGCCTCGAGAATGATCTCGTGAGAGATCGGCCGATCCGGCACCACACCGGTAGGTGACTCGAAGATGTCGGCGAACTCATCAAGCAACCGCACCATACGAGGGTCCAAAGACAAGTCCTTGGGTGACGAGTCGGCTACCGCAACGGTATGTAGGAAGCATAGGTTGATTTCATCAGACTGCTCGTAAGCACAAGTAGCCCGGAATGATTTGGTCGTCACCACTTGGCACTGAATCGAAGGGTGCGGAAAAGGAATAGTACACGACACTTCGGCGTCGAAGGCATCGCGAACGGTAAGAGTCCGCCGGTGGAAGTTGACCGTGTGATCCGCGCTTGCAAGCCAAGGCATTTCCAAAATAATGTCAAAGTCCGTGTCCAAAATGTCAAATGTCATCGGTTCGCATGCATGAGGTGCGAAATACACCGGTACGACCTCGATGTAGCGGTCGATAAGCTGCTGCGTCCTTCCGTCCGCCAACTTGATCGCTGTCGGGTTTGCCTTCCTTCGAACTTGTGCGCCAAGGCCATCCTTTTGCATAAAGGCTTGGCTCATAAAATTGCGAGACGCGCCGTTATCCAACAAAGCGCTGTAGGACGCTTTCCCAACTTGGATGCGGACATAGAGGAGCGGTGCGTTGTTTTCATCGTTCCGGTGCTTGCGAAACTCACGGGCCACCTTGGTAACATACGCAAGGATGTCCCCCACCGCGATTTCGTCTTCCGTCGGCGAAGTTGGTGGTGCATAGAAGGATAAGTACGTGTGAAGATGAGCGCATAATGTTGCACATTGCGGTCCCGACAAGCGGCCCGTTGTCGGGAGAGGAAGCCATGCGAAACCCTCGGACGTGAGCGGGTCCAATACCTCTATGTTGAACTCGCGTGCCGAATCCCGTGAAGAACCACTTAAAGACGATAAGTTGTCGTTGTCGGACGGAGAAGATGTCACACACACGTCTTGTCCTTGAGCATGAGTACTCAGCGTAGGAACTAGCCGGGCAGCATAGTCCTCAAAAGAATAAAGAAGGGGAGCACTATCGACTTCCGCATGTGGCTTGGAACGAAGGGCGGTCACCCGTGAAGTGACCGGTTCTGATGGCGTCGAGAGTGTCGTCGAGTCACTCCCGGCGGTGCTCAGTTTCCCAATTTGCCCTTGCCTTTCGACTGGCAGCCATTGTGTCGTGGAGATCGCTCTTACACCATAAACAATAGCGGAATCTCGTGTGTGCCTTGTATGCTTGCTCGGAGAGACCGTAATGAGACCATGGGGCTGGAGCTCCTGCGCCGGCCTGCGGTTAGATGCGGTGTTTGTCTTCGTCTTGCCGCGTCCTCGGCCTTTGCCGAGGCGACCACCGGGGTTGTCGAGCCCCGGCCCCAGGGCCCCGTCGGGGGTCCGGGGGTCCGAGGGTGGGCACCCCCAACCTCGGCTCCAGACCCCCCACCAAAAAATAAATAATAAAAAAAATAAAAAAACAAATCAAAAGAGGAAAAAAAAAAAAGTGGGGGCTGCGCAGCAAGAGCGCGCACCCCCTGGGCTAAACCCGACAAATGGGGTTTTGTGCCCCACCCCGGACCCCCCCCGGGGCCACACCCACCCCTGGGGGGACCGGGGTAGTTGCAGGTGTGGGGCCGGGGGCGGGGCCAACAGCCGACGGGGGCGGGGTTGAGTGCTGGCGGGCAGGGTTGTCAGGCGGGGGCCCCTGGGGGCAAAGCCGGTGTAGGGGTTTGACCCCCGAACCCCCACCGCGGGGG